TTTTTCCAGGATTTTTCCAGGGACTGAGGTCAAACTGACTGGCCTATAATTCTCTGGATCCTCCTTCTTAATTTTCTTGTAGATAGGCAGCACATTGCCCCTCTTCCAGTCTTCTGGAACCTCTCCCAAATGCCATAAGTTTTCAAATAGTTTTGCCATGGGTTGTGCGATGGCATCAGTCAATTCTTTCAGCACTCTCAGCACTCTTTCAGCATATCTCAGTCCTATATATGTAAGACCTGTACCCACTTGATTTAAGAAGTAAATATAGAGAATTCCACAAGCTGAGGAATTTCATTACTCAGCTGAAATCAATGAAGTTGTGGCTGTTTACCATAGCTAAGGATTTGGCCTAGAACATAATCATTTTCTAGAAGGAAATGTTCTTCATTGTTGTGGTTTCACAGAAATGGAAGATCACACCCTAAAATCTCTTTGCACTTCTCTAATCAGAATTCTCTCCTACCTCCTTGGTATCTTTTATTAAAAATCCATGGATAGGTGAAAAAAAATGGTGATCTTAGTATTCTTTACATGCAAGACTATCTTTATCTGTATTCTGCAAACAAAAACTTTGTAAGGCTTTCTTCCACATCTATCCCACAGTTCTTACTTAAGTGAGGATGAAAAACCATTTGAAGCTGCTTGTCGAGTCAATGTTCAGCAAGAAGGGGGCAGTTGCATAGATCCTAGGCAAACAACATCTTGAAATATGAATCACCTCTTACTTAAAAACCCTATGAAACCCTGAAAAAAGTCTGGAAAAAGAGGTGATGCAGTTGAGTTTAGTTTCTTTGTTTAGTAGAGTCCTAAAGAATGCACAAATTTGTTATTTCTTGGGTCCCAAACTGAACTCAGGGTATAATCTACAAAAGATTTTAAACTGCATTTTACAACACTTAAATTATGAAGGATTTCTTTTACTAGGTAGCATTTCAATGAGGCTATTAAATGATGAGTGTAGACTAAATCAATCTGATCTGGAAGACTGCATATGCTTAATTTAGGCACAGGAGTAATTCCCATCCTTATTTAATAAAGCACATATGCAAGTGCTTACAGCTGACTGATTTTCAATGGAATTTAAGCATGTGCTTATGTTTTTCTAATAGATACATGATTGCTCACATGCTTAAAATTAAGCAGATGTCTAATTGCTTTGCTGAGATGAGAATCTTAATGAGAAGGCAAACAATAGATAGACAGATATCTATGAATTAAAATTAAAAAGAGACAGAGAATTCTTTCCACTAAAAAAGGTACCTGGCAGACACAATTGGTAAGAATCCAGTTCAAAGAAACACGTACAGTCTCTAATAATCATGCAGAGCTATGTTCGATAATTGATCATGGCAAATGGTGTTCATGATCAAAGAGCCTTCAGCAACAGCAATCTGCATAATGGTTTTCCTGAATGATGTTTGCTCAGATGTGGGGGACGGAAATACTGTATCATGCAATAGATATCAAAAGCAGAGCTCCCCTCGATTTGCCCCAGGCGTGGTTTGGCTTAATAGCCAAGGAAGAAAGGAACAGGAACAGGGAACAAATAATGTTTCCTGAAAGTGATGCTCTTTGACAAGCTTGGCAAGAACATCTGACCTACTGATTTTTTTCCCCTGTATTCTTTTGAAACATGGTAGTCTGTAAGACTACCAATCCCCATATAAAGGAATGCTGAGCCACAAGAGCTTGGGAGCTTTTCCTGCTTGTTTTTCTGGAGGGACTAGGAGGTTACTGTTGATTTTTAAAATCACAGTCTCTGTATCTAGATACAAGTTTGTCTGCAGAAAGCAAACCTATTCTTCTGATATACAAGGATGTGCATCAACTTTGCATAATGCCACATAAATGGTGTTTGCTCACTTCAAAAGCTGATGTGCTACAGAGAAATGCCCAGAGTCCAACAGATTGTTCAAAGGAGGACCCCAGTTGAACTGACTGGCAAATACACTCTGAAGGCCCCAAATAAATTCACATTAAACAAAAGAGACCAATTTAGGTGGGGGAGAACTGAGGAACAGAGAAGCTAGGCAACTTATTTGAGATCATACAAGAAATCTGTTAAGTGGCAGAAAATTGAGCACAGGTCTATGCTACCCTAGGTTAGCAAACTAAGCACTAAACCATCCTTACTCTTCACAGGAATGCTTTCCTCAGGGCTGTAGTCTCATAAATACACCCATGTGACCAGTCTCCCATTCAGTGTCTTCTCATCCAGGCCAAACTGTCACCTTATTCTTTTTCCAATCCCTTGGGACCAGGATCAAAGTCAACAGGCAGCAATTCCACAGTGGCAAGACAGAAACAGAGGCATCTATCCTGCCAAGACAAGCATCCAGAAGGAAAAAGGTAATATGGCCTCACCAATGGCCTATGTTTGCACATCACCACAGTGGTCTGTAGCCTGGAGTTCTACTGGTTCTATCCATGGTCATGGTTTCTCAGGTAACAGTAGAGATTTATGAAGTATTTCTCATATATTGCAGGCCAGGGCGTTGTAAATGTTTCTCACCGACTAAAACTTTTCAGGAGTTATCATTACTATAATACCCTTGAGTTAGTGATAAACAGGATCTCGTTGGATTATATTAAGTTAGTATTAACTTAAAATACTTGGACTGGGAAAACACCCAAGCCAGCACCACACCTCTACTATAAATGGGGCCCATGATTAAGCCTGGTAAATGTATACATTTATCATAGAAGGCAAGGTAGATTTGCACCTATTTTATATATATCTGCTTTGATTAGGTGTAGATCTACCCTGCCTTCTACTTGACTTCAGACTAACATAGCTAACTACATCTCTAAATTTACTGTAAATTAGAGATGGTGAGGAGAGGTATCCATCACTCCCACAACTGAATAATTTATTCCCTGAAGCGAGGCATGAGTGCATTTTTATAGGCTAACTGGTTTCACTCCTACTAAGAAAAGTTTTACTGTAATTTTAGGAGACCAGTCATACCTGTCAAATGTACTACTTTCAGTAGTAAGATCAAGGACACTGAACATTTTAGATGTGGCTGCATCTGCCACTGTTAATTAAAGTGTCATGTGAACCCTGTACTGAAGAACTACAAATGCTTTACTTTCATGAAAGATATGAAAAAGTAACTTGCCTAAATTGTACTTCCTTCTGCTGAATGGCAAATGTCCTGATCTTAAAAGTGGCTATACTTTGTCTTGGTGGACAGGAAGAGAAAAGCCCATGAAGTTCTCAATATCAGCCTATAACAAGATAAATTGTTGGATTCACAAGAAGGCTATTTACGCATTTCAGCAGCAGGATACCTGCAGTATCAGATATCATCAATGAATGTTTCAGAGCTTGAAAAGCTGGTTGTACAGTCTTCAGGAATTGAAGGGGCAAAATAACCTAAACTCCAGCTGGGTCCCAGCAGCCATGGGGCATGGCCACAATCTTCCAGCCTTGAGGGTGCCTGAAAACTCCAGGGCTGGGAGATTGCAGGAGCTGAGGCTCCCAACCACAGGAGCTTGCTTCTTTTTGGTACAAGGGGAGCTTGGGATCAGGCTTCCCCTGCGCTGGCAATAAGGTGTGATAGGATCTAATGAGCAACCTCACAACCATGCCTCCTGCAATGCCACATGTTCATGACTGTGTAGATCATGCATTAGACCCCATTGTACCCTTACCTGCACAAGTAGAGGGTCCCTAACATGGCATCCTGCCCCGCCTTCAGTTCACTAAGAAATAGTTCTATAGTGATAGCAATGACATAACCAGGAAATAATAAGATACAGAGTGGTTGAAAGAATAGCTTCATCTCTTATGTTTATAGCCTTATGATAAGAAATACCAGGCAAAAGAAAAGACACTGTTCTGAAAAAAAACACTGCAACCTTTGAAATAATCTATAGGCTACATTTTAAAAGTCAGAGAGGGAAAACAAAAGGAAAATAGAAGCAAAAAAATGGAAATCCCAAAATATGGCCACTAAACTGTTCAATATTTGCATATGGGAGCAGAGGACAGAGGTGGGAGAGTGAGAGAGAGAGGATCATCACTAGTAGGGATGAACAAATTGGTACATTTACTGGGACAGCTAAATAGACAAGGCTGGAATCAGAAGGCCTAATTCTGATTCTTGTCTTTATCAAAACATGCCACAGAAATATTTTATTCATCGTGTCAGTATGAGAGCTAAGTAGAGCTAAGATTCCCACTAACTGAGCCATCCTTTCTTCTGCAATTCTGCTATCTGTTAGCTGCTCCTGGTAATGCAGCTCCCATTTCACAGCCTACAGACTGTTTTTTTAATACTAGCTAAAAACATTAACTCAGGTGTGGAAAAATTAACTCTGGCGAACATTAACTCAGGTGTAGAAATAACTTTCAGTGAAACATTGGATGCACTGCCAAGATGTTCAAGAAGGCTTGATTTTGTTTTATGGATCTAAAAGACATTCTAATGACTATAGGACTAAAGAAACAATGTCTTTTGTTTATTTTTGCCTAGCTTGTTGTATTTTTAAGCCATAATATATGATACAGCAAATTATGCATATTTGAATAAAGTTATATTTCCCTTTGCATTGATCTTAAACTAAATAATATAGGCCTAGGCTCCTAGCATATTAGTATAGAATCTAGTTTCTTTTTACTTGGAAAAAAAATGTGTTGTGTTACAAGTGATGATGCACCATACTGTCTGTACCTCGGTTTTTCAAACCCTAGATTTGTTCATGGAAGCAACCAACAATACAGAGCTAGCATAAACTGAGTGTGGTAAAGCAATAAGAACACTCCATTACACAGCAGCTTAACTGTTTGCCTAATTTAAAAAATATATCTGCAAGCTGCTGTTTCTGCAGTAGCATCTTGGCCTAACATGACAAGAAAAAAACAAAAGACTCTACGGTAGTTATAAGAGGTTACTTTAACCTTTGCTGCTGTTGCTAGAATTTTCCTACATCTATATAGACTTCAGGATGTTAACTGTTATTTGAAACTGCAAAAATGTACCATTACTTACAACTCCCCACCATAGGGCGTCCGCATAGCTGCCAAAGTCTATTTCTCCTGAGTCATTCACAGCATCTTTTTCAGCCAGATACACAAAATAAGAGGAAAAGATCAGGCCCAGAAATCCGATGTATAATGTGGTTATCAGCTCCTGAAATTAGAATTTATTTTTTTTTACCCAAAGAGCTTTGAACTACATAATATTTAATTTTTTGTGCAAAATAAATTAACCAAAAATGTAATTTCAGCAGCCTTTTCATGTAGATCATCAGACGCGCAGCTGGTACAAAGTTAACATACCTCCAGTAGTAGTGAGTGTTTTGTAGTGCTGAAACACTTATATTAGCTCAGGATCTGGCCCAGTGTGTTATGGAACTCCATTTATGTTTCAAAACAAGAATCTAAATTTAAAACACCTAACTGTCATGTTTTTTGTAAATCCAGTGGGTGAATTTTTTGCTAACTAAAAATCATAGTTTCATAGTTGTTAGGGGATGGAAGGGACTTTACAGATCATCAGGTCCAGTCCCCCTGCACTTGGGCAGGAAAGACTGATGGGATCAGATGACCCCAGCAAGATGGGTATTAAGACGCTTTTTGAAGATTGCCAGGGTAGGTGACTGTACCACGTCTGGGGACGCCTGTTCCAAACCCACAGCACTCAACTTGTAAAGAATGTTTTCCTTATGTCTAGCCTGAAGCAATCTTCAATCAGTTTGTGCCCATTATTTCTTGTCCTCCCCTGGGTGGCCTTGGTGAATAGATGCCCCCCAGGCCTTGACGTACGCCCCTGATATACTTATAGGCTTCCACCAAGTCCCCTCTGAGTCTTCTCTTCTCCAGGCTGAACAGTCCCAAGCATTTCAGCCTCTCCTCATATGACCTGGTCTCTAGGCCTCTAATCATGCACATGACCCTCCTTTGGACTCTGTCAAGCTTCTCCACATACTTCCTGAAGTGTGTCACCCAGAACTGGATACACTACTACAGCTGCGGGTTTCACCAAGACTGAGTAGAATGGGAGGATGACATCCTTTACCTTACTTGAGATGCCTTGGTAGATGCATGCCAGTATATGATTAGCTCTCCCAGTTATGGCATTGCATTGCATTGGTGGCTCATGTTCATTTTGCTGTCAATCATGACACCCAGGTCTTGTTCAGTTACGGTGCTGGCAAGCATAGCATTGCTGAGCCTGTAAGTGTGCTGTGGATTATTTCTTGTTGGACAACATTTTCAAAGGCATCTAAAATACCATTTTCAAAGCAATGTGACCATGTAGGAACCCATTTTTCAAGATATTTGGACACACCTTTCAATACTTGGCCTTTCAGTATCTAGGTCTCACTGAGGTCCCAAATCTCCAAGTTCTGAAAATGTTTTTAGGCAAAAATCAGCCTTAAGGATATTACCACTTATCCTTAAAACTCATGAAGGCAACAGGATTTGGATGAAATTCATCAATTGTATGTCCCTGAGTTCATGTGTTTTACAACACCACAATATTTTCCTGTGTTCCAAGACTTTGTAAGAAACAGCTGCAGGAGGTGTCATTCCATCCCTCTGCACAATCTAACTTACTTGTCTATGTATAAAAACAACTGATCCCAACAGTCTCCATGTGCCACCCTGACGGTCAACATGCAGCATTCGCAGAATCTGCAGAAAACGGATACCCCTGAAATACAATTTTTTAATAAGTTAGGCTCCAGCAGGCTGAGGCTACAAGACAAGGCATATAAAGAAAAGGAAGCATCTTTGAAAGGATAAGTTGAGAGAGACAGATCACTTCAGTTAGATAATTCCCATCAGTTTATAAGCTCCACTACTTCTCTGCCCCCATTGTTTATGCTGCTTACTGTTAGACTGAAGTGGGAGATTGGGTGGACAAGAAATAAACTTTCCTTTGGGCAGTTAGTAGGAATGCCCAATGTTGCAGAATTTCAGGAAGCAGACAGAATATTATAGAAATTATTCCCTTGCTGATCTCTGAATGTCTTGTCAAAGAGGAAGCACAACAAGCTTTTGAACATAACAAAAATTCCAAAGGAGAGGCCAAATTTTTATCAGAGACAAAGACAACAATTTAAAAATCCAGAAAGTCTGACATAGTTGGACAGGGGAAATAATCTACTAAGAGGGTATATCTATATGAGACGCCGTAATGTGCAGTAGCCTATTTTACTGTGCATTAGGGTGGCACAGCAAAACCTGTGCTATTGCACAGTAGAATTAGTCTACTTTGCATTAAATATCCCAAAAAAACATGCACCTTTACTGCTGTACCTTTATGTAGTATCTCATTTTAAAGGTCAAGGAAGAGGCACGGAGCACAGCTATAAATAGGGCACAGAGCAGAAAGCAGACCAGTAGATCAAGCCAGGGAAGGGAACTGCAGTGGCATTTGGAAAGAGCATAGAGCAGTGATTCTCAACCACAGTGCTATGGCATCCTGGGATGCCTTGAGATCTTTCAAGGGTGCCATGAGTGGACCCAATGTTAGCACTGTTAGGTGTGCAAACATGATTCACAAGATAAATCCAGAGATTTCAAACAGAAATCTATAGTTGTGGTCTTTCTGCATTCTTTGCAACAGAAAAACTGCTCTATTATTTTTCTGTAGTCAAAAAACAAAGGGGGGAAACAAAGAGCTGGCATTTTCCAAGGGGTGTCTCAAGTCTACCCACGGGTGTCTTGAATTTATCTTGGGGTGCCTCAAGCCTAAACAGGTTGAGAACCACTGGCATAAGACGAACTTTGCGGCATGCTTGCTAAAAAAGGTTGGCCTTCACTGATATACCATAGTATGACTGCAGCTAAAATGTATCCCTTCATTCATGGAAATCAGCTAGACCACCTTTCCTGAGTACAAGAGATATGGTCCATCAGTCAGTCAAGAACACAGTGAAATATCACAGAATGACCAGAAGGTCTTAGGTGGCTGCATGTTTTCCAACAGTCAAACTCTAAATAAAAATATGCTATGTATAAAGCTTGAAAAAGTCTATGGTTATCCATAAAGAATACGTTAGCTATAAAACTATAAGACCAGGTCACATAAACCTGAATTAAATTTGAATAGATCACTGCTGGTTTATGGATGCTGTAGCTTCATTATAGCAATTTCATCATTGTAACTGAGGTGAGGTAGGGGATATAGTAGTAAATTAAGACATTTAATTCTCAGCTCCACTAACATAAATCAGAACAATTTCCAATAAGGCTATTGTAAACCTGTGTATGACAACAGGGGGAAGAGTAGGAAATCATAATACTAATAAACCCTTAAAAACTGACATTTTTTTCAGTTATTGATTTGTTATTACCTGATAGCTGAGGTTGCAAACACTTGACCTTTAGAGCCCACGCAAAGAACTATCATTGAAGCAACAACTACAATTAAATCTGGAAAAAAATAAATAAATTAGGCTAATGAGTTTGAGGCTTCATGTGAAACACTGACCATTTGTTTTACTAGAAACAAAGTTGATATGTTAACTCTTTGGGGAGTGGCATTTTCTAGTCAACAAAATCCAGGGTATATCTAAAGATCTTTTTTGTAACATATGAAAAGAATATAGCATAGCCTGATATTTTAAAGATGTTATTGAGCCTTAGGAGGCTGCATTTTAGAGCAGTGGCAAAAGTACTGTAACATGTCATTTTAATACAGCATCAATACAATCATTTACATAAGCTCCACAACCCATAGATCAATCTGAACCTGCTATCTATTCCATATAACTTGTATGTTTTACAACATTTTAATTTACTAGCACATATTTTTCACATTTTCCCATCTATAAAACCATGTAATTTAGTGATATTAATCCAATTTATCCCAAACTAGAATGGAACAAAAAGTTACAACCAACACATTAATATGCCTTTAAAAATTAACCAAAATAGCTTTGCTATCCAGAAATTATCATGATTTAATGTCTGGTACCTTGAAAATTACCAGGGAAGGAAACAAATCCTGCATCCCAATGGCAAGCCAGAAATAACCCCTTTCTAACAGCATAAAGTTCTTGTTGGCATAAAAACCCCTCAGGGTTTCCAAGTAATCAGTAATTTGAACTGGTCCTTGCTCAAGGACAGAACACTGCCTCAGGCCCAGGTAAACTGGAGACGAAAATCCACCTTTTGGAAAAAAGAGGAAATAGTTTGATAGTGTGTATGTTGGCAGGGGGAGGTTGTTTTGTTTTTCTAGGTTGACAGCAGTTTGATACTGCTTAGGCATTTGCAATGCTGTAAGTCTCAGGAGAGAGGAATCTGTAGTCTGAATGCAAAGGGAAACAGAGCTGTATGTTGCTTACTGCCAACATGTAGGATATAGTTATGATACTACACACACACAGGCACAAACAATTCTGTGATGATGTACATCACCTCGATACAATAATTGTGTGAAATTTTCATTGAAATAACATTAGCCACATCACACTGATCACCCTGCTTGCATATTAAAACCCTCTCCCCTATGCTATCTGTCCCCTGCGCTACTGCTCCTGTATGTATCTGTGCCTAGGCATAATAGGGAGGGGTTTTGTTTAGTCCCAACTCATATGTCTTATGGTTGTGACTTTTAATATTATAACAGAAGAGAAGGATTCAGAAATAATTTACTAGATGAAGCACTGAACACTTCAAGAAGGAGATTTTAACATACAAATAATACTTGATAATGAAGTCACTTGCCACTAACCAGCATGTTGTAGGTGGTTCAGCTATAAAGCCATGTAAATCAACATTGATAATACGGGCACTGGGAAGTGAGCTCGTCTTTAAAAACTGTAAAAGTTGCAACTATTACATGGTACATGCGATGCCGAGGCCGTCTCAGAAGATGGGACTGTAGGAGAGACCCTGTCAGATTTGGCTAAATTTCAAATCAGTTGTGAAAGGAAAGTATCCCCTTCCTAGAAAAGGAAATCAAGTTAAAAGATTTTTTTTTTCCTTAAGAAGGAACTGACAGCGCTGCAGATTCCTCAGAACAGTCTGATCTATATAAACACTCATGAAAAATGCTCTTGCTCTAACTTGGCTGGACTCACTATGGAAACTTAAATTCTTCTGAAATATTCAAGGGATTTATAGAAACACAGCTTTTCTTAGTATTTGTTATAACTGTTCAAACCAAATATACTCACCAATGATCGAAATAGGCTTCCTAGCAAAACGAAGCCTTCCCCATATTCCAACATATTTACTGCGACATCCTGCTGACCACAGCCGAACGACATACTCTGTTCCAAAAAACACCACTAATACAATTTCCTAGAGGAAACAGACAGGGGACTAGATTAATTTTCTAGTTTGCTTTCTTCTTTTTTTTTTTTTTGCTTTTCCTTTTCTTGAGATAACATTAGGGAGCACTGAAAATGAAACTTGAAACTTGGGTAGAGAAAAAATATGCAATATAACAAGAAGACCCAAACTACAGGAACTTGGGAAACTCTGTAAGCAATGAGACATATGATTAAGAGTAAGCTTAAATACCATAATGGTACACAGTTTGGCTCTTTGGCATGTGCTAAAACTGAAATCATTCTGCATAATTTACTTGGCTTCAGTAATTCAAACAGAAAGTTGCCTGACTTAGCCAAAGAAAACAAATGGACTCTGTATTCATGGGACAAGTATTTTGCTAGTATGTCTAATTTCCAGAAAAGGTACATTATACATACCATTTGTAACAGTTTTAACCAACCATTTACTTACTCTTTTTCAGCCTAAGCGCAATCAATATGGCTAAAAGTAACGTATCTGGTAATTGTATATGACAAAGTATCTAGCTTCCAGGCAGTTTTAAACCTAAGAAGAAATCCTTTCCCACCCTCTCCTAGAATCAGCTAGAGTCTCCGTCAGGGTCAGGAGTTCATCTGTGGTTCAATTCTGAAGTAAAGTCAGACTTGAACTATAACTTAATCATGAATCTAAACTGAGGTCAAGTTTTAGAATTTATACAAGAACAGAGTTGGTTGAGAAGTGTGTTTAAAACACAGTTCAGTCCCAGTTATACTGTTTGACTGACCCATTTTAAATATTTTAAGGGCCTACTGTGCTTTAACTGAAATACCCAAGAAAGCAGAATTCAAAGAATATCATGGATGGAACCAATAGTTCTAACATCCCTCTGCATCTTTTAGGAAAAGAATTAGGCCATATTTGGAATTAGTGACATTTTTCAGTCCATTTTTCTCTCAATTTTAAATCACAGGCAATGTTTTTTGGCAATTAGCTGATGAAGTAATGTTTGCTGTATTTTTTTTCAAAGTATTTTTTTTTCAAAGTAGCAAGGAATCACAGTACTGTAATTCCTTTATTTAGAGTTCATATTCAATTAGAAACTGGCTTCATCCTCCTATCTAAAGCAAAAGGGAAAGTAACTTACTGTAGTTCAAATAAAGAGAGGCTGTGAGCTATGGGACTCTTCAGCCTGGAGAAGCGTAGGCTCGGGGATGACTTGGTGGCAGCCTATAAGTACATAAGGGGTGTGCATCAGGATCTGGGGGAACACCTGTTCGCCAGAGCACCCCAAGGGATGACAAGATCCAACAGTCACAAACTCCTGCAAGACCATTTTAGGTTGGACATAAGGAAAAACGTCTTTACTGTCCGAGCCCCCAAGGCCTGAAACAGACTCCCCCAGAGGTGGTGCAAGCACCTACTCTGGACACTTTCAAGAAACATTTGGATGCTTATATTGCCAGGATCCTTTGACCCTAGCTTACTTCCTACACCTTGGGCAGGGGGCTGGACCCAATGATCTTATAAGGTCTCTTCCAGCCCTAATGTCTATGAAATCTATAAAAAATGGGGTTTTTCACTGAAGACGCACATTACATGTCATGTTGTACATAAAGCATAAAGTGGTTGAAGACCAGAATTCTAAAGGATCATAAAAAATAATTACAAAAGAACACAGAGGTTTTATGCATTACTTTAGTTCATGATAATGCAACCCTTGATGATGATAACAGCAGATGCTCTGATAAATGTCCTCCTGTCCCCATGCCTTTTAGTTTATACATACAAGCATGGTTTCTTAATTAAAATACAGTAAAATTCTGGCCTTATCAAAGGTAACAGGAATCTTGCCATTAACTTGAGTATGTATGGGATTTTGCCCTTAAAGCTTAGCATAGCAATAGGGCTTCTGAGACTAGAAGGGAAGATTTCTATTTCTTATAGGCTCACATCACTGCCTTCAATGGGAGATGGAATGTACTCTAATATCCCCGCCTTCTGATAGTGCACTAAAATGTTCATCTCTGGAAGCTAAGCTATACTAACTGAAGACACTACAACACTTTTCAAAAGACAGGAGGATACTAGCCAACATTCCCACTCTTCGCTTGACAAGTTCTAATGTCTCAGGCTCAGTGCAAGCTGTTGCCAGATGCAGCAGGTTAACAACTGCAATTGTCTATAGTCTCTCTCTGCTCCAACTATACTTCAAGCAAAATCACATGACAGTGACCATATCTGTCAATTTGTAAATATGGAGCTTGACCCGTTTACATCAACAGCAAATTTTTTCCAGGCTATTATGAAAGAAACAAGCAGGAGGGAAGTTTTATGCAGAGTACTATTTTACTGAGAAACATTTTTATAGGTCCATGTTTGCAAAAGCAAAGGGGTTACCACTATAAGACAGTGCCAAACCCTTCCCCCCCCCACCCCGACGCACACACAAGGTGCGATATAGTAATTCCACATAAAAAAGGATTCCCTTTTTCGTTTAGTTTTTATTAATTACATTTTCAACCTGCATTGAATTGCAAAATTAAAACATTACCGAGTGCAATACTACTAAAAGAGCAAATCATTACTGATACAATAATGTTGTTGTTAATTTTGTTTTTGACATTGCATTAGTTTATAAGATATAATCAACAAGCTCTACTATACTAGTATCTTTTTGTGTCCTAAAAAGCTAATATAGCCTCTTTCATCACTATTATGAAAGAAGCTCCCTCAGTGAAAGACAATGACAAATAATTAAGCAGGGAGCTACCAGTTTCTTTTATTCAAAAGAGGCTATTTGAGCAAGGAACCTACGGCCTCAGATCACATGGGCTGCCAGAGACAATAGTGTTCAGATATCCCCAAATGGGGTTTGTGGGGGGAGGAGTATCATTTGGAAGGAAAAAACAGAAAGTTAAATATATTGTGCACAACAACAAAAATACTATTTCTTGACCAAAAACTATAAGTTTATCAAAATGTGTGTAACAAGAGAATGAAAATCTGAAGTCTGGACTGTGAATTGGGAGGGAGGGCTTGTTTTGGGGTTTTTTAATGTATGTGTTTTTTGTTTGTGGAATTTGCATTAGAGTTGTGTGTGTTTTTTTAAAGACCCTCCATGGTTCATTGGATAACAGGAACACTGGCAAGTATGCAAATGTGGGCTGTCCCAAAGACAATGAAATAGACATGTAGTCAATGGTTACTGTCATCCAGTTCTTTGCATGACATGCAGACAAGCTTAGAGAACATTGATTGTTCTATAGACTCCTGTGACTGGAGGGAACAACCAGTCAGCTTACACCAAGACACATTTTTCACTCCTGACATTTTGATAAAGCCTTATTGACCTAAATGAGACCCAAGTTATTCAGAGAACATCAGAGGTGAAAGTGCACAAGCTGTTCTTCATGGTCATACACAAAAACGTCAGGTATCCATTAGCAACTGGCAAATACCCCCTCCCTCACCCGTGGCCATGTGACAGACAAAAGTGTTTTTAATACCTTGCCTTGTATAAGCCTAATCAGTATTGGGAGGTGGAAGAGACTGATGAATTTGTCTCACTACATTTGTGCATAAACTGCTAGAAAAGTTGCAGACAAGGAAAGGGAAAAAACATTATTTAAAATAAGTCAGAGCAGTCATTTCAAAGACAAACAAACATGTTCTCCAGAGCATGGAAATTCCCCATATCACCCCTCAATAGCTAGAGGTACTGTTTACCAAAAGCCAGTAAAGAAAAATGCTGGTGACCTGATTCTCATCTCATTTACACTAGTGTCAGTTAGAACTAGCTCCCATTAAGTAAGAGCTGTATTAGTAGGCAACCAGTCCTCAAATTATTTCTTATGTCTGAGAGTTTTAACCTATCTGAGTTCTATTAGGGGTGAGTTTCACCCACTGGTTCTTAAATACACTAAGTCTACTTGCTTAATGCAAGCCCACTAAACGCATTGCCCAGAAAAGGCCTCACAGTTCGGTGCCCAGCCAATCTAAAACACAGGTATCTGAAACAAAACCAACACAGCAAAAGAAAAGCAAGGAGCAGGAAGGGGAAGATGGAAAGGTAAAAGGCAAGGGAAGAGAAACATCAGTGATGTGGTGTGGTAGCAGGAGAAGGAATCTGGTAGCCTGCACAAGAGGAAAATAATATGGAATAGAAAATTTCTTGCAGAGTGCTGGGGCTTATAGGAAGAATCAATTTTTTTTTGCTACAGACACGAAGCATCACAATATGGGATGGAAACCCAATGGGAAAGCCATTTCCTGAACCAGTACAGCTCTAATTTCTACCATTTCTATTGCATACTGAGAAACTATTGTAAATCACGACACTTCAGCTTGACCTGAGCTACAGTCCTCTTCACAAGGGTTCCAATAAACTGACACTTCAATGCTTGCAAAATGCCTGAGACAGCAGCTGCACATATTGCTTTGTGCAGGCCATGCAAGTTCAAGACACTACAGGCAACTGTTTCTTGTAACCTCTTTCACCTAGCATAGACAGGCCCCTCATTGTTCTACATCGATTTTTCCCTTGAAGTTGCATTATGGTCTCTTAGATATATAGAAGGCAGCAAGATCAGATAGCTTAGGCAGACAGGTAGGCACATATATATGGAAACAAAGTCAACAAGAAAGTAACCATTCTGACTTGATTGTAGTGGAGATCAAAAAGGAAAAGAAAATTGTGTTCTTTTTCATGTTCAGATGCATACTGAAAACCTGAAAATGCCAAAACTGCTATTTAGGATTTTTCAGTTCATTCACTTGTTCCCCCCACCCCCACCCCCATATCTTACAGTTAATCTTGACAAGTTTAAAACAATAAATATTATGTTGTTTTTTTTTAAAAAATGTTCCAAGCTTAGTGTCTCATGCTGAGTCTTTATCTTTACTTCAAAAAGCTGTGTCCTTTGCCAAAATTCCTTATCAGCGCTGAGTAATGTGGGTTAAACAAACAGGCAATGGAAAACATTAAAAACAGGGTAATGGTATCACCCTTCTATCTTAAGAGTTCCATA